CGGCGTGCTCTGTTACGCGATTCATCTTCCGAATCTGAATGCTTAACAAGGTTTTTCTCTCTTCGACCTAATCTTTTACGTGATTCATCTTCTGAATCTGAATGTTTAACGCGGTTCTTCTCACTTCGCTGTGCTCTGTAACGGGATTCATCTTCAGAATCCGAATGCTTAACAGGGTTCTTCCCACTTCGATGTGCTCTGTTACGTGATACATCTTCTGAACCTGAATGCTTAACATGGTTCTTCTCACTTCTCCGTGCTTTGTAACGCAATTCATCTTCAGAATCTGAATGGTTAACAGGATTCTTCCCACTTCGGCGTGCTGTGTTATGTGATTCATCTTCTAAATCTGAATGTTTAACATGGTTCTTCTCACTTCTCTGTGCTCTGTAATGCGATTCATCTTCGGAAACTGAATGGTTAACAGGATTCTTACCACTTCGACGTGCTCTGTTATGTGATTCATTTTCTAAATCTGAATGTTTAGCATGGTTCTTCTCACTTCTCCGTGTTCTGTCACGGAATTCATCTTCGGAATCTGAATGCTTAACAGGGTTCTTCCCACTTCGATGCGCTCTGATACGTGATTCATCTTCTGAATCTGAATGCTTGAAAGTGTTCTCACGTCGACGTGCTCTTTTACGTGATTCATCTTCCGAATCTGAATGCCTAACATACTTTGATATCTTACGATGACCACTCTTCCTCCTTTCCACTTCAGCAGTGTCATTTTCTGAATCTGATGCTTGTATGGATGATGAATGTTTGCTATGCTTTGAAGCACCAGTATGGTGCTTCTTCTTCTGATGTTCCTTCTTTTCATGCAGTTTCTCTGCGGGCTTCTTTGCTTCAACCTTTTATTGAGAAAAAAAATTGATCAGCATATACAGTCAAACATTCTCTTAAACTAATAAAAGACATCTGCTAAAACCCTGATAAACCCAGCAAAAGACCCAAAAAACCCTTAGCAATAAAATGATATTCTGGTGTAAACTGTGGGTGCAAACCATGCCACGTGAACAGAAACCCAGCTACAGCTGTTTGAAGTTACTGCTAGAAGAACTCTAATTATTCACTCAAGTTAAAAAGAAATGGTGAAGACTTATAGGTCTATTGAGGTCATGATCCAAGGGACACAAAGATCTTTCCTCAGAATAAGAGGCTAGCTAAAGATTTCTGTAACTAACAAGTCTTGTCTAACCAAGCCACGGCTGCACCTGCATCACTTAAATAAAAACTACCCCATTACTACAATCAAGTTAATTTAATTCCATTAACACCCTTAACTTCTGCATCAGCTCCTCGTGAATGGTTGGTCCAGAAATGCTCTCTGGGGGGAGCATTTAGTTAACACTAAAAAGTTCTGGTCTTAGCTATACTCTTTTTCTTCTTCTCCCTGTTTTTTTCTTCAAACTTCCATCCTCTCTGAGCCAGTTAAATCATTTTTCTTCTTGGCAGCCTGCCTTTATACACACTTCTTCCTCATCCAACTCGTTAATTTTCCCAACAAACTACTTTTTCTTCCACATATCAGACATCATGATTCCCCAATCCTATCTTTCAGGTCTTAAAACCTATGCAGCACACCAAAATGGCGCCAGTGACCATATTTTTATATCTACAGATTTTGTTTTGTCTGTATAGTGAGAGGTAGAAATTTATATAATTGGCAGAATTTGAAATCATCAAGTCATATCTAACTATGCTGTCTGGCATAACTAATTTATTCTTGATTAGTGAGTAAGAGAAAAGTAAAAAACGACAAACTTACAGATTTGCGAATCATGGCCATCTGAACAGGATTGTTCTTAATACGAGAAAGGGCTTCCTGCTCACGCTGCCGAATCATAAGCAAAGGATCCGAGTGGAGCTTCCTCCAAGCATCATTGGCAGATTGAGGCTTTTCTTCGAACAGAGCTCCTGGCACAGATGCTGATGCCTGCTGCTGGAAAATCAGTAGTCACAAAGGATTATAAGAAACATGACTTTGTAGTTGCACTACATTTTATACACAAATGGGAAATTAAGGATCATAAATACAATTACCTTGGAGGCGGCAGAGGAGGAAGGAGCTTCTTCGGTCTTGGGTAGGGCTTCAAGGGTTTTGAAACTATCTGAACCACGCACCCAACGGCCAATCCCGAACCATACAAGAACTCCAACCACTCTTGCCTCGTGCAAATAACAATCAATTGCAGTTGATTAGAGATTAATTGACGAATTTGAAGAAAAAACAAAGACCCCAACCCTAACCCTAAACCTAAACCCTAAAAAGAAATAAAAAGGAATAAGATTAGAATTGCTTACGGGACGAGACCGGCTTGCTCCTGGAGAAGGCGGAACTCAGAGCGCTCGCGCTCTTCAACGATCTGTTTGCGGAGCTCGTCCAACTTCTTCTGCTCGGCCTCGTGCTTTTGCTCTGCCTTCCACACGTTCTCTATGTTCCGAAGGCTCCCTGTGTGCCATCCCTTCTTGTTCAGAAATTTCAACGCCATTCTTCTTCTTCTGCTTCAATATTCGAATGAATGAACGAAAAGATTGAATTTAAAACGATCAATTTCAATTTCAATTTCAATCGCGCAGTCTCTCTTCCTCTGAGTTTTATGCGTGGCGGGCGTTGTCCTTCGCCATCCTTGTCGCCCGTTATATCTTGGGAAAAATAAAAAACAGTATAGGTGGATTTTTTAAATTGTTTGTTTATAGTGTATTTTTCAATAATACGTACACATATTTTGACTACAAAAGAAGTATAAATATGGGCATAATTTTGTTGTTGGAAAATATGGGCATCGTTGAAAAATCCGTATCAAATACATGGGAAAATGCATTCGTATGATTTGGAAGACTATTAAAAATTAAAAATGTATTTACTCTTACCACGTAATGAAATGTGCAATAGTCTCGTATTGTATATTTTTTTCACTTTAAAACATATAATTTTCACTGGATTACCCACCCTAAACTATAATTTTCCCAATTCAATACCGACTCTCAATAGGCTCGTATATATATATACACATAGAGCTTTCATTGAGGGACACCCCTTGTAGGGCCCACTTCGGATTGTATTTCACTAATTCAAACCGTCTATTTTGTAGATACTTATTCAAAGATCATCTATACAAAAAATCACTTGAATTCGATATCATTTGAGGGATTCAATTGAGTTATTGAAATTTTAGTATTTTCTTGAAGCACCGTGTTCATTGATTTTGTAGGACACAATTGGATGTTGAAACGGTTTCCAATTTGTCTAATTTTTTGTAAGGATGATCTATGAATGAAGACCTGAAAAATAGATGGTTTGGATCATTGGAAAAAAATTTGTAGAGTACTCTAAAGGGCGTCCCTCAAATAAAATTATTTGAGAGATCCCTCAATAGAAGAGGACTGTATATATATAGCAAATCTCCTCCCTACCGTCGAGGGAGAATGATAGAAATTGGACACAGGCAATAGATGTTAATGTATGGTTTTTACTATTTTCTTTTGGCTTCCCTTGACAACTTTGTAATAGGATGTGTGTTGTTATTTATCAAGCTCAAGTTTAGATTAAGGAAAACCTTTCTTGGTGCTCTTCTCTAAATTCTGCTGCTCTATGGAGGTTCAAGCAAGTTGACAAAGGTATTGTGCAGTGCATATCATTTTATAAAACAGTCTTCATAAAAATAATGACTAATCATCCGTTTCTCAGATGAATAGTCATCCTTGCTTTGTAGGATTTCCAGCTAGATAACAAATTGTTTTGTCCTATTCCTCTCTCTCTCTCTCTGCTGCCATCTGTGTTTTCTGACCTAAGGAATTTTTTGGCTGTAAAGGCTACGTTTTTGGTCATTTGGGTGTTGTCTCTTTTGGGTGGAAGTTTTGGAAAGTTTGGCTTGCCATCTTTCGCTTATTCTTCCTCGAGAGAACCATCTTATTTCATCTATGAGTTTTTCCAATTGATTTCTTTTTGAAAAACTGCATTTGAAACACGAATATGCATCTAGCTACTTAAAATCATTCGCTCATTTATATCTAGGTCAGATTCAAGATTGATTTCTTCAAGAGTATGGTTTCTTGAAGAAATTGGTCATTCTCCTTTGAATCCAAATTTTGGTTTCGGTTTGTGTTGGAGCTTGCAAGCTAGTGCCATGGGATGAACGAGCTGGAGAAGGAGCTGCCATTGCCATGAAGAACTGAGCTTCAAGCTTTGCTAAGTTGGAGAAGAAGATTGCACAAAGGAGGTATAGCTCATCTTCCTAAATAGATCTAGGTTTTTCTTGAGCTTACTTGTGTTCCTTTATAAGAATCTTTTTCTACTTAGTGGATTGCCTGGTCGGTTGATGACCCCCAGTTTTTCCCAATGGTGGGTTTCTGGGTAAACAGTTTCTGGTTTCCAACTCTGTAAATTTTCTAGGTTTGTGTTCTTGACAGTTGACTAGTCATCTGGGTTTGTGCAGTTGACTAGTCATCTTTTTCTACTGTTTGGTGTTTTCTTGATTATGTTGTTTGGTCTTCACACACTTTCGCCATAGTTGTTGCTAGCACAGGGGATGCCTAGATTGACGGGTCCTTCTGAGTGCCTAGGTTGTCACTAGTAATTCTCTAGGCTTGCAGGTACATCTTGGTGTGCTCTGTGTATGTTATTGTTTGGTATAATTCATATATGACAGTTGACTAGTCATAAGAGTATTTGGTCAAGGTCTAGAGTGTGTGAAGTTTGCTGCGCTCTTGGTTAAATATCTTTTAAATTTACCCCTCGTCACCTAAGTACCAATTTCAATAGATACCCAAACAAAGATGCCTTCTCCTTTCTCAACATGGCCGCGCCCTGATTTTTGCATTATTCATGTTCGCCGCCCATAATATGGGTACATGGTAGTTTTGTGTTCAATAATTCACGCTTAGTTAATCAGACCGATGCCTTGATTACTTACGCTTGGCACCCAACTACCATATGTCATCGATATGGATTTATGATTTTTACATTCTTCAACACATTCCAACGTTGTTACATAAGAAGATAGCAAAACAATAAACATAAAGACATCACGGGGTTTCATATTAGGACTAATAATACAACACAAGGCCATTATTATGGCATCAAAATAATCAAGAGGAAGTCGTCTTGAGGTGTCTCGCCAAGAGGCATTCAAAAATAGAAATACGCATTAATATATTTCTAGCATGTTATAATCTCTTCCTAGAGGAAAATGACTCAATGATCTGCAAGATAAAAACAAATGAAGCGTGAGCACACAGTTTACTCATATACTCAGTTTGATGTAAGATCACATGCCAGCTGAACCACAAAAAAAGCACTCACATTGTTACGATACAATCGTGGCATTAGATTCAAAGTAAGTTTTCAACATCGTAGTAAAGCCACTCACCTTTTGGTCCAGCCTCGAAGTAAGTTTTCAACATCAACACCTAAGAGAGTACAGAAAACGTAATTAACTTAGAATTCTTCTACGATTGAAAACACACTAAATGTAAATGGTAAACAACAATGAAACACGTAAAAATATTAAAAATAAAAACTCATTACCAATTTTGTGCTGAAAGGGAGGCTAATAATATAAAATAAAATAAAGTGATGTGAACTCACAATGAAATGCAGAGAGAGGTCATATCTTTGTTCTCTTTCTGGGTCGAACTTCATCACCTACATCACCCTCACCATATAATTCATTTTCATCAATATGTTTGCCATCATCATCACCATCCTTTGACAAACTTATATGAGCCAGGTGGGCCCCAATGCTTTTGATGCGCAACCCTTTGCCGTGAACAGTAACTCCAAAAATAGGTGGCGTTAATTGATCATGAAGCAATAATGGAGTATACTCCATCCACAAAGTAGTACCTTGAAAATGAGAATCCCACTCTGTCTCTCCTTGAAAAACAATATGCTCAAATTGATCATGAACTCCATGAAGTGAAATACATTCCAGCCACACATTACCTGCCCCTGTCTCTCCTCCAGACACATCAAATCTATTTCGAAAAATACTCGAAACATCAAATCTAAGAGAACAAGGGCTAACAAATGATTCCGTAATTTCCCAAACAGCACACAAAACCAATTTTGTGTTCTCCAATACAGAAGTCCAAGGAATTTCAATAGGAAGTTCGTAATTACGAACACTCCTGCCATCATGATCAATGTAATCAAATTTACTCTCATCATAGTCATCAAAGTAATTACGAAAAGTGAACCACTCTGGAACTTCACTGCGACTGTCAGGTAGTTTAACGATAATCCTCCTTTTGCCACTTTGGAACTTCATCTATAACACAACACAGGCATATATATTATTATTAATTAGTCGTGGTGTGCAGCGAACATAGTATAGTATTAACAATATATATAATGTATGCATATTAATTATATAGAAAAAAGATAAATACGTCACCTCATTAAATAATTTTGCCATCTTTGAAACGTCCAATCCTAGATTATTGCATAGCCTATGGCAATTAGACAAGTCCATGTAACTAATGCCTTGCATGTATCCATCTTCCAATATCTTTGACAATGTTGAAAATCTTTCCAGTGATATGCAATCACTCATGTGAACCCATTTTATAGACGCTGGAAGCTGTACTAGAATTTCTACAAGCCTCCTGCAACCCCTCAAATCAAGCTCCCGCAAGTTGACAAATTTGCTAAAGCGCACAGGTAGATTGACAAAATTGCTGTTGCATAGAGTAATTTTCTTTATCTGCGACCAACAACAAAAATTCTCCAAGGAATCAATGTCTGATACATTGCACTCTTCAAAATACAAATACAACGAGCAGCTCTTGAATGAACTGTATGATTTGGTTCGAACCTCCAAAGGAAGTGATTTTGCACTCAATAAAACTTCAGAGATCAAGTTATTTGGAAGTGTGACAAGTTTTGGCCATAGATCGAGAAAAATAGACTCGAGACTTTGCAACCCATAAATACTTTGTGGCAGATTTGCAAGGTTTTCACATCCTTTTAAATATAATATTTCAAGTGCAGTGAGATTTCCAATTGATGAAGGCAACTCTTCTATAGCAGTTCCACCTAACCATAATTGTTTCAGGGTAGTGAGATTTCCAATTGATGAAGGCAACTCTTCTATAGCAGTTCCACCTAACCATAATTGTTTCAGGGTAGTGAGATTTCCAATTGATGAAGGCAACTCTTTTATAGCACTTCCAAATAAGCCCAATTCTTTCAGCCAACTGAGATGTCTAGCTGGTGCCATAAACTTTTCTATAACACTCACAGATGAGATGTCCAATTTTTCCACCCCAATGAGATGTCCAATTGATGCAGGCAACTCTTTTATAGCAGTTCTCCCAAGGAACAATTCATTTAAGGATTTCATTTTGTCTTCAAGTTTTGGGAAACTCTCCAACTTTATGCAACCGTAAAGACCAAAAAAATTCAGAGATTTCAACCTAACTTTAATTGGAAACTTCGTAAGTTCACGGCAGTATCTAAAATCCAATACTACAAGTTTGTCAAGATATCCAACAGATGGATGAACCTCGACTAAACTTGTACAACCACTCGCTTGCAAGTACCTTAAGTTTGGGCTGCTAGATAGGTCGGGGATTTCAATTAGGAATTGAGATTCCTCGAAATTCAGAGATGTCAACTTTCTCAAAAGCTGTGAAATTAAAAATAACAAAAATCAAATGGATAGCATTAAAGAAATTTACAACATACATTAGTTAATAAACGAGACCTCTTAAAAATAATAAGGGATGAGAGATAGTTTAAAGTACCTTCAACCCCTCCCCTAGTTGTTTGATGCGGCTGTAAGGCAGATTGAGCACAAATAGTGCCTTTTGACGAAAGTTGGCTGGAAAAGATTGGAACGGACATCCATGCCAATCAAGCACTCTCAAATTGTTTGAGATAGAACTGGCGTCTCCAGAAAGGCATACGTTGTAGTTTATGAGAATTTTAAGATTTTTCATCTTCGAGAAGCTTGTGCCAACATCCAAGAATATCTCATCATCTTGTTTGGGGAAATTTAACATGATGCCTGTGATTTTATTTGTTCCCTAATATAAAAAAGAAAAATGTACTAAGTGTTACAAGGTATTGATAATAAAAAAATATATATTATACTTAACACACAACACGTGTTAGTTATTGAATTAAATAAAACATTACACTCACATATAAAAATTTATTTACTTACTGTGTTATTAGTCAGAACATGCTCGACATCTTCATGAAACCACAATCTGCTACGTTCTCCAGGTTCAGTGGGCGACTCCTGCTCAATTATGTCCTTACCCATCTTTTCTAGTAAGTCATGCATATGAATATAACTTCCTTCAACACTTATGAGGGCCTTTTCTATGAGTACATCAATGCCATATCTAGTGTTTAGCTCACAAGCTTCTGTCACATAGTTTCTTCTTGCACCCTTAAAGAAACATGTGATGTCAAGGAAAACCTTCTTCACTCTATCATCCAAGGCATTGTAACTTATTTTGAGAACTTCTTGAATTTCCGTGCCTTGGAAACCATCCAATGCAGCTTGCCATTTATGTATACTTCCACCATATAGATGAGAACCTAGAACTTTCAAAGCCAAAGGAAGGCCTTGAGCATAGCGCATTGCACGTTCTGCAAGTTTCACAAAATCACCCAAAGGAGGCTCACTTCTTTTGAAGGCATACCAACTCAAGAGCTCAAGAGCTTCAGGATCATGTAAAATCTTGACCTCATGTATTAAATTAACATCATGAGCAGTTAACAGTTGCTTATCCCTTGTTGTTATGATAATTCTACTGCCTACACCAAACCAATCACATGCCCCAACTAACTTGTGTAACTGTTCCATGTCATCCACGTCATCAAGAATCAAGAGAACCTTTCTATGCCTCAACCATTCCTTTATCAAGGTGACTCCTTTATCAACATTGGTCACCTTCAATTTTTTTCCCCTTAGAATCTCACAAAGAAGAGTCCTTTGCAGTTTTGCTAAACCTCCATGCGACGTTGAACATTCTCTAACGTTTGCCAGAAAACAACAACCTTCAAATTTGTGGGCAATTGAATTATAAACAGCTTTAGCAATTGTTGTCTTACCAATTCCACCAGTTCCCCATACCCCTACCATATGAACATCATTTCCCCCCAAATCTAATAACTTATTCATAACTTGTACTTGAGCTTGCATTCCAACTGGATGCTCTGCCACTTCCAAACACGCATGGTTTAATACGTGTTTTGAAATCTCGTCAATGATGTTTTGGATAAATTTATATTCAGATTGATTCCTGCCAATTGAAAATAATGTGAAGCATTTAGTGACACTGTACACACAAAAGGAAGAGAATTTTGAGCAACAATGAATAAATTAACTCTTATAAAACTGATTCCAATTAAAGTTTGTCAAGAATTGGAATCAAAACTAGTCTTATATTTTTCAACTACTTAGTAGTATAATGTTTTAACTATAAGAGGATATACATGTTTCTTTTTCTCTGTAACACTCATCACTTGATCAACTCATATAATAAGTGTACGTATATTTTTCTCTAGCAATTAGTATTAGAGCATCTACAGTGGGGGATGTATTTTCGGGAGTGTAAAATCACTTTTATATCCTCTTTACACCTCCAAATGGTGTAAATACATTTTTTGCTCCAATGAGAAACGATGTAAATTCAAATATGCATATTCAATTTGTTTGTGATAATTCTTTTGTGTGTGTTTTTTTTGTATGTTTTAAATTTTTAAAATTAATTTTGTGCGTGTTAGAACATATAATTTTACCTACAAACTAACATAAAAATATCTATGTAGAAATCTAGGCCATTGGAAGTGCAATGCAAATTGCATGAAATCTAGGCCTTCCATTTTGAATTCCAATCCTTCTCTTTCCCTTTTTCTCTTGTGGGTCCCGCCTGCAAAGGATGTGAAAAAAGATGCAAATGTGCATCTAATTTTACATCTTCCCATTGGAGATGATTCCGGCAACAAAAGTTGTATATTTAACATACACCCCCTTATACACTCTCCCATTGTGGATGCTCTAAGAACCAGAGTGCAAATATAGTGGCTATACTTATTACAAACAAAACAAAATAACAAGCATTATATAAGGGGGTTAGAAATTTACTCGTCCAAGAGGGTGAACCCTGACAAATTTGCTACTTGTGAAAGAGCTTCCCTCCATCTCTTGACCTTCTCCATATTATCTTTATATTTACACTCCACGTTAGCCAGTGCATCCCCGAAACTACCTCTATGATTCCGTACATCTGATGGATTCACCTTGTAAAAAACTGGTATGACCAGTTGTTGTTCTGATTTCTTGCAGTCAAGAATCTTAACAAGTTCCTCCAAGCACCACTTTGAGGAGGCATAGTTTTTAGAGAACACAACCACAAAAATCTTTGAATCTTCAATTGCTGTGAGAAGCGTGCTTGATATTTCTTCTCCTCTTCTGAGCTCATCATCATCCATGAAGGTGTTAATGCCTTGTTGACATAAAGCGTTGTACAAATGGCCTGTGAAATTGGAGCGAGTGTCCAAACCTCTGAAGCTCAGGAAGACGTGGTGTTTCCATGAATTGGTGAAGGAAGCAGAGGAAGAAGAGGCTCGTTGGTTGGCCATGGAAGCCAACATAATTGTTTCAGTGTTCGGCAATCATCAGAAAAAAGATGAGTCTTACTTGAAGAGTTTGGTTGTGAGTGAGCAAAATGTAAAAGGCTTTATCTTTGCTTTGAATCCAATTATTGACGCGTTTTCCCTGACACAAGCTATCAATTACTTTTATTAAAGCATACGGGTCAATCACTCCACCGGAGACTAGACCATTGAAACAGATAATGGAGAGGCGCGAACATAATTGATTCCACTAGTCCATGTCTCATGAACTATCCTATACCAGTCTTTACTTCACAGTTAATTAACTAGACAACAATTATCTTCTGTTTCAGTATATATAGACAATAATTTCTTCTTTTGTTTTCCCCTCATAATCATGGTTGTATGGTCACTCAAAAACAACGAAATTGACCCACCCAAAAAAAAAAAAAAAAAACCGATTTCATGTTCTTTTGTACTTTATGGGAAGCTATTTTAGCGCACAATTAATGGAATGGAAGATCCTTGAAAGGTTAGAGCCAAAAAAAAAAAAAAAAAAAAAAAAGGGAAGTCTTCACAATAAATTCACAAGTCTTCATCACTAAGTTTCAGACTTTGAAAAGTCTTTCCACTTCTTTCATATCACTTTTTTTTTTCTTGATTGCAAGACGGTTTGGGGAAGAAAGACTTTGGAGTTTTTCATGCACTTGAGTCAAGGTCTTTGTCTCTTATTGAAATTGGAATGTTTGAGTATAATGAAATTGATAGAAGTGAGAGATTTCCTGGATTCATGGATAAGAAAATTCAGAGAACGTTTTATTGTGTGCTTGAGTGTGATATATGTCCTACCTAATGCGTGTGGTTATCTTTTTGATTGTTTATTGCGTTTTTCCTTGATATGAGTAGGGTGCAAGTTGGAATGGAAATTCCTATTGCGGTCAATTTGGATCCAAAGATTTTCAACTTTGGCAGGTCTAAATTAAATTCGATGTCTGAAAATTCCGAAAAGAATTGGATTGGAATGAAAATGTATCTCAAAATTCTGAATATTTCGGATTCCAAAATATATTGGTATTTCAAGTTTGGATTACTAAACTTTATGTTAAACTAAATATGATATAACGTTTGGGACTGCTTCTATAAGAAGTACTTATACTCATAACCGCTTTTGTTCAAAGCCCCTTTATTAGAAGAATGTTGAAATTTTTGTTAAAAATGCAAGTGCTTCTTAGAAAAACACTTTGACTGGTGCTTCTTCAAAAAGCGCCCATAAGCGGTTACCATAAATGTCGGAAAGCTCTGTTGGATCCGATGAATGTGAATGCAGACAAATTTGAGGTTTCATTCAAAATCATATTATACAATACTGTTTGCTTCTAGGGTATTATATTAGTTAAGGCTGAAATAATACATACAGACATTTTGAGGGTCTTGATTCTTATGTAAGGAGTTAGCTTGTTAAAGAAATTTCCATAACCTTTTTACCATTTTAAGATATCTTGTGTTTAACTTGCAGCTACTTGAACTTGAAAATCAGATTGAGAAGAACAATATAATTTTGAAGTCTTTACAGAATTTAGAATGTACACTTAAATGGTAATTATGCCACTTTGACCTTATTTTTGTGTGAGTGTGTGTATTTCATTTAGCTTGTTATAGTTCTCTTATACTTTCAGTTTTTTTGTTTGATTGATGTAGGCTTGACAACACAGAACGGATTGAGGATGCAGTTGAGGGAAACTGCGTTAGGTTGTCACTTAGGACATACATTCCATGGGATCTGTTGCTGAACCATGGTGGCAGGTGCTGGCCATTGTTGGCAGTGCCTACATGGCTTGGGCTGACATTGCAGTGCTCCACCCAAGGGTGATGCCATGCCAGCCCCTTCAATGTTCTTTTGATACTGCTCTCGAATTTCCTTTGAGCACTATACCCTGGATCTTTTAAATACATTGTTGATGCTGCAAAGTCTTTGACGTTCTTTCTTATAAATGAGTACCCCGTCTTATGATTTCTAAAATTTGTTTCTTTCTTTGTTGTTGTGGTATTCTTTTGTTTTTGTTTAAAAAAAATATATATATTTCCTCTACTGCAATTGGTAGTGCTTCAGTAATTAAAAGGCATTTAGCAAACAAATCCCTCTAAAATATCGAGCCAATCACAACACACACGCACCCTTGCATTACCTGTCATATTTTTAATAGGTTCTCTCTCTAAAGGTTTTTATTTTTTTAATCTTTGACATGTCTTTTGAATTATGTGCTCTCTCAGCTTGATTCCTGTCATATGATCATATGATCAGATAGCATTTCTTCTATCTGCTGAATATGGGAGTGAGTGTTTGGTTTTTTTTCAGTATTCTTATGAATAAGTATAAATGCTTTGTGACCTTATTTCTGATTACTTTTCCACAAAAGGTGCTATTTATGAAAAAAAAAAAAAAACACAGTATATTCTTTTATTGAGTTCATGAAATCCACTTTGCAGGATATCTTCATTGCAGTGGTTTGTAACAAAAGTGCAAGACAGAATAGTTCTATGCACCATGAGGCGACTAGTGGTAAAAAATGCAAACAAATCAAGGTGAGACATTTTCCTTAGCAATTTTGGTCTATGTATTCATTACGCTCTTAAAAATTTTCAAATGTTTACATTTGGAATGCATCAGTCCATGCAGACACTCATTGGAGTACTTGGATAAAGATGAGACAGTAGTGGCTCATGCGGTTGGAGGAGTTGATGCATTCATCCAGGTCCCTCAAGGTTGGCCATTGTTAAGTTCTCCATTGAAACTGATATACCTCAAGAGCTCTGATCAACATTCAAAGGGAATTTCTATTTCTTTTAGTTTTCTGTGCAAGTTTCAGGTCAGTGTTACACCTCCTCATCTCTTACTAGTTTCCTTACTTCAGGGTGGATATTTGAGAAATTTCATCAAATTGGGCAGTTGCAAGCATGCCTAGTGAGCTTAAAATGTGGATATTTTGGTTTCTTTTGAACCAGTTTGAGCTTATAGAAAAATATACAAAAATGTGAATTGTTCATACAAAAAAAGCTATTAGATTTCACACAAGTTTATTATATTTTCAATTATATGAAAGAAAGGTTAAGTGTTGATGCAAACTCAGATCTTCTAAGCATGTAATTGTTCTTGCAGACATTCATGTATTGAACACCTGGATTAATGGAACCGGACAAACAACAAAACACAACAGCGTTACCGACGAAAAGCATTGCGTTCACTTGCTTTAGATATGCCCTGCAAATAATGTGTTCGGCGACGTATACTCTCCTCAATTGTTGAGCTTCCTCCCCTCTCAGCACCATAAACACTTGTTTGAACAGCATCCAAGAAGTTCCTACCACTGGATTTGACAGCCTGGGTAGCTTCCAGTGCATCATTCTCCTCAGCCTTCTTCAATCGCTTCCATCTTTGCTCTTTATGCAACTCAGCATCTATTTGCATCTCCTTTAGCCTAGCATCTCTTTCTTCTTCTGAAAGTTCAGGAGCAACATTTCGACGCTTGTAGTGTGATTCATTCCGACCTTTCATGGGGTATTTTCCTAGTTCTAAATTGTCATGTTTTCCCTTGGCATCACCTTGACCATCATCTCTTCCAATTTTTATGGACTGATTCTTATCACCTCGGTCTGCTCTGTTACGTGATTCATCATCCGAATATGAATGCTTAACTAGGTTTTTCTCACTTCCACCTGCTCTTTTACGTGATTCATCTTCTGAATCTGAATGTTTAACATGGTTCTTCTCACTTCGCTGTGCTCTGTAACGGGATTCATCTTCGGAATCTGAATGCTTAACAGGGTTCTTCCCACTTCGATGTGCTCTGTTACGTGATACATCTTCTGAACCTGAATGCTTAACATGGTTCTTCTCACTTCTTCGTGCTCTGTAACGCAATTCATCTTCGGAATCTGAATGGTTAACAGGATTCTTCCCACTTCGGCGTGTTCTGTCATGTGATTCATCTTCTAAATCTGAATGTTTAACATGGTTCTTCTCACTTCTCCGTGCTCTGTAATGCAATCCATCTTCGGAATCCGAATGGTTAACAGGATTCTTACCACTTCAACGTGCTCTGTTATGTGATTCATTTTCTAAATCTGAATGTTTAACACGGTTCTTCTCACTTCTCCGTGTTCTGTAACGGAATTCATCTTCAGAATCTGAATGCTTGCTTAACAGGCTTCTTCCCACTTCGATGTGCTCCGATACTCGATTCATCTTCTGAATCTGAATGATTGACAGTGTTCTCACGTCGACGTGCTCTTTTACGTGATTCATCTTCTGAATCTGAATGCTTAACATACTTTGAATCATTTTCTGAATCTGATGCTTGTATGGATGATGAATGTTTTCTATGCTTTGAAGCACCATTATGGTGCTTCTTCTTCTGATGTTCCTTCTTGTCATGCAGTTTCTCTTCGGGCTTCTTCGCTTCAACCTTTTATTGAAGTAAAAATTGATCAGCATATACACGTCAAACATTCTCTTAAACTAATCATAGACATCTACTAAAACCCTGATAAACTCAGCAAAAGACCCAAAAAAAACTTAGTAATAAAATGATATTGTGGTGTAAACCATGGGTGCAAGCCCTGCTACAAGAACAGAAACCCAGCTACAGCTGTTTGAAGTTACTGCTAGAAGAACTCTAATTATTTACTCAAGTTAAAAAGAAATCGAGAAGACTTACAGATCTACCGAGGTCATGATCCAAGGGACAAAAAGATCTTCCTCAGAATAAGAGGCTAGCTATAGGCTTCTGTAACTAACAAGTCTTGTCTAACCAAGCCACGGCTGCATCACTTAAATAAAAACTACCCCATTACTACAATCAAGTTAATTTAATTCCATTAACACCTTTAACTTCTGCATCAGCTCCCCGTGAATGGTTGGTCCAGAAATGCTCTCTGGAGGGAGCATTTAGTTAACACTGAAAAGTTCTGGTCTTAGCTATACTCTTTCTTCTTCTTCTCCCTGTTTTTTTCTTCAAACTTACATCCTCTCTGAGCCTTCATATACACTTCTTCCACATCCAACTCTTTAATTTTCTCAACATACTACTTTTTCTTCCACATATCAGACATCATGATTCCCCAATCAGGTCCTAAAACCTATGCAGCACACCAAAATGGCGCCGGTGAACATATTTTTATATCTACAGAAATTTATTTATTTATTTATTTTTTGTAAGTCTATGAGACGTAGAATTTTATACAATTGGCAGACTTCGAAATCATCAAGTCATGTCTAACTATGCTGTCTGGCATAACTAATTTATTCTTGATAAAAGTGAGCAAGAGAAAAGTAAAAAAATACAAACTTACAGAATTGCGAATCATGGCCATCTGGACAGGATTGTTCTTAATACGAGAAAGGGCTTCCTGCTCACGCTGCCATATCATAAGCAAAGGATCCAAGTAGAGCTTCCTCCAAGCATCATTGGCAGATTGAGGCTTTTCTTCGAACAGAGCTCCCGGCACAGACGCTGATGCCTGCTGCTGGAGAATCAGTAGTCACAAAGGATCATAAGAAACATGACTTTGTAGTTGCACTACATTTTATACAATATCATTGATGCACACAATTGGAAAAGTAAAAATCAGAAATACAAATACCTTGGAGGCGGCAGAGGAGGAAGGCGCTTCTTCGGTCTTGGGTAAGGCTTCAAAGGTTTTGAAACTATCGGAACCACCAGGGCGCCCAACGGCCAATCCCAAATCATACAAGAACTTCAACCGCTCCAATCACTCTTGCGCTCTTCAACGATCTGTTTGCAGAGCTCGTCCAACTTCTTCTGCTCGGCCTCGTGCTTTTGCTCTGCCTTCCACACGTTCTCTATGTTCCGAAGGCTCCCTGTGTGCCATCCCTTCTTGTTCAGAAATTTCAACGCCATTCTTCTTCTTCTTCTTCTTCTTCTGCTTCAATATTCGAATGAATTAACAAAAAGGTTGAATTTAAAACGATCAATTTCAATTTCAATCGCGCAATCTCTCTTCCTCTGAGCTTTGTGCGTGGCGGGCGTTGTCCTACGCCATCCTTGTCGCCCGTTATATCTTGGGAAAAATAAAAAACAGTATAGGTGGATTAATTTAAAAGAAAGAAAAAAAGATCAAATCAGGATGATATTACATGAGTTATCTATTTAAACTCCGCATTTTTCTTTGTTCATTAATGTTTAAGTTCACCCCAACTTCTAATTCAAAATTTCACAATTTTTTGGTTCAGTTTAAAGATCAAATCAGGATGAACAACAATAAGTGCATTTTAAAGTTCAAAATATTTTTTTTTTTGGTTCAGTTTTTCTATTTAAACACCATACTTTTATTTGTTCACTCTAATACTTAAATCATTAAACTCTTAAATTTCATTATTAGGGCCGACATATGAACTAAAATGTTGGATATATGAATCAAAGGAAAGAGAATAAGATCAATATAGTCAAGCAATCAACCAGCCCTTCCATTAGCTCCCATCACATCTTTTAAAGAGGTAGACTCCTCAATATTTTACATCCTTAAAAGGGGAGTAATCTGGCAAAAGGATGTAGAGGAGTTTGTATTTTTCTAAAACTTAATATGAAGAATGATGGGGTGTGTGTATAGATCTAATAGGGTTAGATATTAAGTTGGATGACAATTTTTTTGTTTTTTACACAATAATAAAACTTAACAGCTAATAGGGTGAACAAAGAGAAGTGTGAGATTTAAATAGAAAAATTCTATTTTATTATACATACACATTTTGACAACATAAAAAATATAAATATGGGCATCATTGAAAAATCCGTATACAATACATTGAAAAATGCATTTGTATGATTTGGAAGACTAGTAAAAATAAAAATGTATTTACTCTTATGTAAAGGAATGTGCAATAGTCCCATATTTTATTTTATTTTTACCTTAAAATATATAATTTTCGCTCAATTAGCCACCCTAAACTATCATTTTCCCAATTTAATACTGACTCTCAAATTTCAGGTACAAAAATAATAAAAAAGACAATCAAAAATTTAGAACAAAAATCATAATCTGACTAAGTGGTGAGATTAAATTAATTTGATATGAAACATATTGCTAAAAGTACCTTAAAATATATATGAAAAATTATATTTATTATTACTAGAATAACTCACCAATCGGAGTAACCATCTGGGAACAAATCGCTCATTCCGTGGTCGTTGTCCATACGCATTTCGAGGTCGCGGTCGGCCAAACAGAGGGAAATATCATCTAATCCATTTTCATCTATCTGTTTGCCAGGATAATAATCATCATAATCCCTTGACATATTGTTATGAACCAAGTGGGCCCCAATGCTTTTGACGCGCAACCCTTTGCCGCTAACAGTAACTCGAAAAATAGGCGGCATGAATTGATCATCAAGAAATAATGGAATACAGTCCCACCACATAGTAGTACCTCGAAACATATCCGACGTAGACAGCTTAAATGGAAGACAGTACCAACGCGGAAATAATGACATACATTCCAGCCACACATTACCTGCCTGTGTCTCTCCCCCAGACACACGCCATTCATCTCGAGTATGAGTCTGAAAAGCAAATTCAAGAGAACAAGGGCTAACAAATGATTCCGTAATTCCCAAGCAACGCACAAAACCAATTTTGTGTTATCCAATAGGGATTGGTTCTCCAATAGGGAAGTCAAAGGAATTGCAATAGGAAGTTCGTAATTACGAACACTCCTGCCATCATGATCAATGTAATTAAATTTACTCTCATCAGAGTCATCAAGGTAATTACGAAAAGTGAACCACTCTAGAACTTCACTGCTACTGCCAGGTAGTCTAAAGACAATCCTTGCATTGCCACGGAACTTCATCTATAACACAAAACAACACAACACAGGCATATATTATTATTTTTATTAATTAGTCGTGCATGCAGCATACATAGTATGGTATTAACAATACATGTAATGTATGCATATTAATTATATAGATAAAAGATAAATACGTTACCTCATTAAATAATTTTGCTATCTTCGAAACGTCCAACGCTAGATTATCGCATAGCCTATGGCAATTAGACAAGTCCATGTAACTAATGCCTTGCATGTCTCCGTCTTCCAATATCTTTGACAATGTTGAAAATCTTTCCAGCGATATGCAATCCCTCACATGAACCCATTTTATAGACGCTGAAAGTTGTACTAGAATTTCTACAAGCCTCTTGCAACCTCTCAAATCAAGCTCCTTTAAGTTAACACATTTACTAATGCACACAGGAAGACAGACAAAATTGCTTTTGGATAGACTAATTTTCTTTAAGTTGGACCAGCGACAAAAATTCTCCAAGGAATCAATGTCTGATACATTGCACTCTTCAAAATCCAATCTCCTCCGCCTTACGAAGTCGCCATCGTGTGGACTATTTTCGTTGGTTCGAATCTCCGAAGGAAGTGATTCTGAACTCGATAGAGAACAAGTTGTTTGGAAGTGTGACAAGTTTTGGGCACCGATTGAGATTAATATACTCCAGATTTTGCAACCCATAAATACATTGTGGTAGATTTGCAAGGTTTTCACATCCTTCTAAATTTAATCGCTGAAGCGCAGTGAGATTTCCAATTGATGAAGGCAACTCTTCTATAGCACTTCCATCTAACAGTAAAGCTTCCAGGGCAGTGAGATTTCCAATTGATGAAGGCAACTCTTTTATAGTACTTCCAAATAAGTCCAATTTTTTAAGCCCAATGAGATGTCCAACTGATGCAGGCAACTTTTTTATGGCAGTTCTCCCAAGGTCCAAAGAACATAAGGATTCCATTTTGTCCACAATTTTTGGGAAACTCTCCAACTTCATGCAACCGTTAAGACGAAAAAATATCAGAGATTTCAACTTAACTTTTCTTGGAAACTTCGTGAGTTTATGGCAGTCAGAAAAATTCAATATTACAAGTTTATCACGATCTCCAACAGATGGATGAACATTGACTAAACTTGTACAACGATTCGCTTTCAAGTACCTTAAGTTTGGGCTGTTGGATAGATCGGGGATTTTAGTTAGGAATTCAGATCCCGTGAAATTCAAACATTCCAAATTTTTAAAATGCTGTGAAATAAAAAAATAATAATTAAAAAGAATAATAATCAAATGGATAGCATTAAAGAAATTTACAACATACATCAATCAATAAATGAGGCCTCAAAAATAATAAGGGATGAGAGATAGTTTAAAATACCTTCAATCCCTTCCCTAGTTGTTTGATGTGGCTGCAAGGCATATTGAGCACAACGAGTTGAAGAAAATTGGGTGGAAAAGATTGGAACGGATATCTTTTCCAATAAAGCACTCTCAAATTGTTTGGGAGAGAACTAGCGTTTCCATAAAGGTGTACGTTATAGTTTATGAGAATTTTAAGATTTTTCATCTTCGAGAAGCTTCTGCCAACATCCAAGAATATCTCACCATCTTGTTTGGGGAAATTTAACACGATGCGTGTGATTTTATTTGTTCCCTAATAGAAAAAAAAAAGTACTAAGTGATACAAAGTATTTATAATTAAAAAAATATTATACTTAACACACAACATGTGTTAGTTATTGAATTAAATAAAACTTTACACTCACATATATTATTTAATTTACTTACTGTATTATTAGTCAGGACATGCTTGACATCTTCATAAAACCACAATCTGCTACGTCCTCCGGCTTCAGTGGGTGACTCTTGCTTAACTATGTCCTTACCCATCTCTTCTAACAAGTCATGCATCTGAATGTACTCTTCATGTTCAACACTTATGAGGGCCCTTTCTATGAGTCCTTCAATGCTATACCTAGCATTGAGGCCACAAGCTGCAAGTGTTTCTATCACATAACTTCTTCTATTACCTTTAAAGAAACATGCAATGTCAAGGAAAACCTCCTGTACGCTGTGATCCAATGCATTGTAACTTATTTTGAGAACGTCTTGAATTTTCGTGCTTTTGAAACCATCCAATGCAGCTTCCCATTTATCTATATTTCCACCATATAGACAAGAACCGAGAACTTTCAAAGCCAAAGGAAGGCCTTGAGCATAGCGTATTGCACGTCGTGCAAGTTTCACATAATCATCCAAAGGAGGCTCACTTCTTTTGAAGGCATGCCAGCAGAAGAGCTTAAGAGCTTCAGGATCATCTAAAATCTTGACCTCATGTATTAAATTAACATCATGAGCAGTTAACAGTTGCTTATCCCTTGTTGTTATGATAATTCTACTGCCTACACCAAACCAATCACATGCCCCAACTAACTTGTGTAACTGTTCCATGTCATCCACGTCATCAAGAACCAAGAGAACCCTTCTACCCCGCAACCATTCCTTTATCATAGTGACTCCTTTATAAACATTGGTCACCTTCAATTTTTCCCCCTTTAGAATCTCAAAAAGAAGAGTCTTTTGCAGTTTGGCTAAACCTCCATGCGACATTGAACATTCTCTAACGCTTTCCAAAAAACAACAACCTTCAAATTCATGGGCAATTGAATTATAAACAGCTTTAGCAATTGTGGTCTTGCCAATTCCACCAGTTCCCCATAACCCTGCCATGCGAACGTCTTTTTCCCCCAAATCTAAAAGCTTAAGTATATATTCTACAGGATGACGCATTCTAACTGGATACTCTGTCACATATAAATATGTACGGTCGATTACTTGTTGTGAAATGTCTTGAACGATTTTATGAATCAGTTCATCTTCAGATCTATACCTGCAAATTTAAAAGCATATGAAACATTTAGTCACATGGCATGTTTCTATAAAAAGTAATTTAAAAAGGCCTTCCTTTGGCCTTGAGCATATAGGAACGTAATACACACAAAATGTATAAATTAACTCTTACAATTTATTTTCTTTTTTCGTCACATCTTATAATTTATTTTCTCAAAAAATGATCGATTAACTCATACATTAAACCTAATGAATTAGTTATAGGAAAAATAAAATAAAAAAAGAAACGAAAAGAGAAGGGGGTTGGAAATTTACTCATCGGACAGAGTGAACCCCGCCAATTTTCCAGCTTGTGAAAGTGCTTCCTTCCATCTGTTGACCTTCTCCACATTATTGCAGTCCATGTTAGCCAGTGCATCCCCGAAGCTTCCTCTATGATTCCGTACATCTGATGGATTCACCTTGTAAAAAACTAGGATGACCAATTGTTGATTTGATTCTTTGCAATCAAGAATCTTAACAAGCTCATCCAGGCACCACTTTGAGGAGGCATAGTTTTCGGAGAACACAACCACAGAAATCTTTGAGTCTTCAATTACTGTGAGAAGCGCGTTTGATATTTCTTCTCCTCTTCCGAGCTGATGATCAGCCATGAAGGTGTTAATTCCTTCTCGACGCAAAGCTCTATACAAAGGGCTTGTGAAATTTAAGCGAGTGTCAAAACCTCTGAAGCTCAGAAAGACATGGTATTTCCATGACTTGGTGAAAGGAGCAGAAGAAGAAGAGGCTCTTTGGTTGGCCATCGAAGCCAAAGACGATTGTTTCAGTGTTTGCTTCTCTCTTTGGATTCGCTAAGAGTATGGATGTGAACAAATTTAAAAGGCAATGTGAATTCATGAAATGGTGAGCAAGTGTAGCTGAAACTTCTGGTCTTCAGTTGCATGTTAATTTTTGCTTGGGTATATGTTAAAAAACAAATGAAAGTCAAGTGAATAACATGTCAATAACATGTCAATAATGATATGAATAAGGTAATGATGTTCAATTGGAGGCCCTTAAAACCTTCCACATTTAAAGCAGTGCAGAGTGCAGATTATCTCTCTGGCGCTAGAATATATATAATTTTTGGAAAAAATATTATTTCCGTTGTTACTAAATTTGCCTGTGAAAAATGAGAACAGATAATAATAAACTTATGAATAAAAGTGCAAAGCATTTGAAAAAATGTTGATCTATGACGATTATGGCGGACTGAAGAAAAAGCTAGAAAGAAAGAAGATGTGGCAATGGCTTAGCAAGCAGATAGCAGAGCAGATGCTTTGCTCTGCTTCCTTCCACCATCTTTATTTATTTATTTATTTATTTATTTATTTATTTATTTATTTATTTTGTGTTGTGTATGAGATGACAATAATTGTCATGTGTGTGAAGTGTAGAACTTGCCTAGATTGCACTCACACTCACTCATGCATCAACCATTGATTGGAGTTTGGATCCATAAATAAAACACATGCTATTGCTTGTAATTCACAGAATCAATGCATTAACAAGTATTTGCACAAAATTTGTCATATTACTTTGATGATGTTAAAGTCTGTGATCAGTAATCCCTATGCGCATGTACTTTGTCAAATTTGTAATACCAATGTGAGTGTGCAAATACGTGGTAGTATATGTGTTCACGTTATTTCATTTTGTATTTCAGGAAATGGGATCCAACGTGGAGCTGGTATGGCTAGAGTCAGAGGCATATTCATCATGGATGAACAACTGCTCACATGCAAATTCATCCCTAGCAGCAATTCGAGCGAAGTTGAGTGCCGAACAATTAGAACAATTCAAGACATCATGCTTTGGCCATCTTCTGAATATAGATAAGATTCAATTTAGCGGGCAGATTGTGCATGGGGTTGTGTTGCGTAGAGTAGCGGGGCAGGGTGTGAAAGACTTGGATGGACTGAGTTTCTTAATAGGGTGCGACGTTGCTCAGTTCACTCGTCA